ACCATAAAATTTTGATATACACCTTTTTAATCTAAGAACTTACATCTATAGAAATTTTGAGCTAAAAATTCCTCCAAAAACTCAAGATATAACTCCAACTATTACTATCAACAAAAAAACTCACTTATTGCCTTTGAATTACATTTGATGTCTTTAATACTATATAATTCCTTCATATAAACTCAAAATATAGAAATTATTTCACAAAAGATGGAGGTTTTGAAATTATCTTTGTAATTTCACTTCTTGATCTCCAAAATCTATTGTAAAACTCCTTATATCTTCAAAAGAACAATAGTATATCTCAAAAAAATACTTTAACTTCAAATGGCTATAACTTCATTACCTTAATTCCAAATATTCTAAAATTTATATACAAATTGTAGCCCAAATCCTAAATCTTACAACCATTGCTTATGATTCTAAATGCTTCTTTTTAAGTTGCTAAAATCCTTGTTATGGTCGCAGTCAGCCTCCTAAGAGCCTATTAGGCATGGTTTTCGACCAATAAAAATGAAGATCTTCACTTCTTACTTTCATCCATTCATACCTCCAAATAAATTGTAGAGGTTTGAATCTTTATCTTTGAGCTCTAAGCTTCTCTTTAAATTTTATACTAAATATCTTAATCCTATATAATTTAAATACTATAATTGAAAGAGATAAACCTCAAAATATTTTTTTTACATCAATTCTTTTTAAATTAATCTACTAACTATTCTTATATATATATCAATAATTATAAATATATAACATATTTTAGTTAATTTTTATATATTATAAATAATTATAATATAACAATATGTTCATAATAACATATAATTTAAACTTGAAAGATTCAACTATACTAACATCTCCATCTCTAACCATCTAAGTAAAAAAAAAAATAATAATAATAAAAAAAAAAATCTAAACAATACTAATTTAGAACAAAATACTTTACAATTTATAAAATACTTAGATGCCTTCAAAAAGACAGATAATGCACTCTTTATTAAGAAAGATCAAGCTTTAATATTAATAAGAAGGCTATTTAGATAAATTGTTACAAGTATACTATACAAAATACCAAACAAGTAGTTGAACAGAAGAGTTTTAATAAAGAAGTTAGAAAAAAATTGATTAAACCAGATGATTACAAGATCAACATCAATAGAGGTCAATTAAAGCTTTAAGAAATGTATTGTTGAGACTGTATATAGATTTGATATTATCTTGTAGTATAGCTTCTTAGAAGTTTTATAAATGCGTATTTGATTTATATATATTTATAGTTGATTGATAGGTTAAAAAATTAGCCAACAAATTAATCATGTATTGTACATATAGGTAGCTTGTGGTACAAGCTAATAATCTGGCATGCATATAAAAAACTTGCCTTACAAGTTAAAGCAGGTGTCTTACAAATTATATTCATATTAATTGTCTTATAGAACATCACTACACAGCTCTTAGTTTGATAGTATATATGGTGGTAAGAGTGAAACCTTCTTCTTGCTTGTCAACTCTTTTTTAGTCTTTAATCTTATTTCAAAACTTTTTAGTCTTCTTATCTTTGGCAATAGCTATTCTAGTTTAATATTATACCATCTTTGAGTGATTCGCTAATCTTTTTAAGTGATACAAGAGTGTATTGATCTTTTAATTTTCTAAAATTCATGTCCTTAAAAATTAATGATTATTATTATAGGTGATTTTTTAAAATTTTAATTTATTTTATATGATTTTTTATTTTAAATTAATTTAAAAATCATGATTTTTGATATCAATATATAATAGATTGTAGTACTTTTATTTAATTTTGTGTTATATATATATATATATATATATATATATATATATTTGATTTGATATTTATGAATTTTAATTTTTTATCATTTAATTTTTGAATGAATTATTATTTTTGATTAGATATAAATTTATTGATTATTAGTCTTATATAAAATTAAACTTATAAATTCGTAATTACATATATAATACGAATATTGAATATTTATTCATTCTAAAACTTAGTCATTTATGAAAGTTTTGCCAATCCAAATATATTACTCTATATAGATTGTTGTTTAATTTTTTCATGTGCATGATATATTCTTCTAACATACATAAGATGATTTTTTTTTTTTTTTTTTTTTTTTTTTTTTAGCTTTGAATGTTTTTCTGTTATAAGGTTTATTCAATGTAGGTATATCACCTTGTAATCTTATAAAAAAAAGAGAAGAATTTGTCTTAAATTGCTTTATTGTAATGTAAAATCTATGAATTTCTTATTTAGTTTGTACAACTAAAGAATAAAGGTAAGGCCATGAGTAGCTGATGAGTCGGCAATAAATTTGATTTGAAACAACAAGTTGCAAAGTTGTATCTAATATAAAAGTTAATTATTTAAGAATATAAATAAGTAAATAATGATTTTAGGACCTTGATTTTGAATCTTTAAAATTATATAATTGTGAATTTTGATGGAAATTTAAATAATTGTAATAAAATAAATATTTTTGTATGTATATGTATAATTAAATATATATAAGTATATATATACATTTTTTTTTTTTTTTTTTGGTTTCTTGGTATATTGATTCTAGAGCTTTAACATTAAGGCCCTAGAATTATACTGATTTCGCACAAAGTATGGGATTTAAAGAAAGGTTATGAGATTTTAATGAAATATATTTTTAACTTGTAAACATCAGCCCTATAATTAATGTCACAATCAACTTTAAAATTTATCTATTCTTTTAATATAACTTAATTTATTTTTATATAATGCTAAATATTTTTTATTATAAAATTATATAATAAGTATTATATTTACTAAATATAAATTATCAATTTTTAAATTAAAAATCTAGTAAAGTTTTTATTTATTTTGACTTTTTAAATAAGCATGATTTTTATAAAGATAGCAAGTAAATGATAATCAAATATTTTATCATCTTTTATAAAATATAAGCTATTATAATTAATATAGTAACAAATGAATCTTTACTTCATCATAAATATTTTTGAAAACTTTAAATTACTCCAATAGAAAAAAGAGAACTTTTTAAAATACCAAAAAGATTTTTATTATTGTCTATGCTTTGCAAAAGAAAAAAAAAGAAAAAAAAAGAAAAAAATCCTATAAAAATATGATTATAAATAATAAAGAATAAAATTATGTCTTAATTATTTTAATATATCTTTAAAATGAGACTTATCACAAAACAATAAAAACTTATCAATTCACTAAAAAATTTAAATTCGAAATAAAAAATGGCATTAAAATACAAAAAGACAATATATTTCTAAAAACCAATAAATATGATATCTATTTTATGATTTTCAAATATTTAAGAATCTATAAGTAGAAAATAAAATATATAAAACATTTACTCTATGGTACCACAAATAGAGTTTTTTTTGTTTGATGTTATATTATAATATAATAAATACTTTAAAGGAAAAAATATATTTATTTTTAAATATATGCATAAAATTTTTAAAATCTAAAAATAAATAAATTTTAAGTCATAAAGTGTTAGCCATGAATAACAATAATATATTTTAATTTTAATACTACTACTTTTAAATAGTATTAGTAATAGTAATACTTTTTAGTAACAATAATAATATTTGTTTTGCAACAATAATAACAACAACATGCTTTGGAATCAATAGTCTTTGGTAATATTTGCAACTCTATAGAAGCAATAACAAAATCTTACAATATTATTATTTGGCAAAACAATTGGATTATTTTACACTATTAATAATATATATATATATATATATATATATATATATATATATATATATATATATATTTTAATAATACCAACATCTTTGAACAGCATCTATATCATATTTTAATGATAGCAATAAGTTCCTATGGCTATTATTTGACTATACTACTACCACTATTTTTTATTTGGTACCAATAATAATATCTTTTAAAAATAATAGCACTACTAACATCCTTTGATAGCATACTCTAGAAATAATAAAATCAATCTTGAATCATACAAACAGTGCCTTTTGACAATAATATTAATATTTTTTAATAAAAATATTACCACTTTTGATATTAATAATAATAATATCCTTTTTAACCATCTTTTAATGCATCCAACTACAATTATATCTTATAACAATGTTAGTAGTAGTAATATTAATACTATAATCTAATACCAATATTTACTTTAAAAAAATCTAACAATTCTATTTGATAACAACAACAATTTTTTATCAATACAACACTTTACTACTACCACCAACATCCCTTAACAACAACAACACTACCTTTCAATGATATAAACAATATTAAATGATAACATCAACAAAAACATTGTGTAATAGTACCATACCATTTTTTGGAAATTATAACAATATTTTTTAGTAGCACCAACAACATTTGTACTACCATTTGCAAATAAAAGCAACTATACTCTTCAAAACCTCCTACTTGAAGTGATAACAATAATCCCCTCTAGTACTAACATTTGAAATAAGTAGCATCAATATCCTTAAATTCTATCTATTGAAATTAGTAGCAAGAACACCCTTTATTGAAAACAACAACAAACAACATCAATGGTTAAAGTTCAATTGCATAAGTCTAATTGTCTTCCTCTCATCTGAATCCAATTAAAGTGATGTCCTTGCCATTGCCCAAGTTGTCAAAAATAGATGTCCATTCACGCAACATCAAATATGAAATAATACACAACACCAATTATTTATATGTTTATTTAGTTTAAACACATTGTATTAAACATATAATAAAGTTGACGCTCCTCACATGAGGATGCTTCCTCTGCTCAATTCGTCCAGCGAAAAGTGCGAATCGTCGGACGAAGTAGGCAACGACGTAGACCATCCGTTCATCCATCCATCTCTGTTCGTCAAAACTGCACTGTGTCCAGTTAACCAAATGGAATGCGGCGCTCGTCCGTCCGTCGACGTTGCTGGGAGCAGCATCAGGTAGTTAGGTAGATTCGTCTTCTTCACGGGGACACGATTGCATACATCTTTCGAGATGAGAGAGCTTTTCTCGGTGAACACTTCTCAATTGTAACGACCCTTGAGAGCTCTATCTATGTACAATAAAATGATACCCATGCTTCGAATCTGTGGAATAATTAATTAATATCTCAACTAACTGCCCTGTCCACCTGAAACCTCCAGCACTCTCTCTGTTTCTGTCTGTCTCTCTCACACACGCTGTGTGTTATTTTTCCGTGCCGTGTGCGTGCGTGCGTGAGCTTTCAGCGTGTTTGTGGCCGATTTGTGGGGTTCGTTGCTGATAAGTCGAGAGTGGAGTGAAGGAGGGAGAGGGGTGAGAGATGGGTAAAGAGGAGGAGGATGCATGGGTTGTGATGAAGACGGCCAGAGCACCCAGCAACATTGCGGTGATCAAGTACTGGGGCAAGCGTGATGAGAAGCTCATCTTGCCCATTAATTCCAGTATCAGTGTGACGCTGGATCCAGAGCATTTGTCTGCCACTACCACCGTTGCTGCCAGCCCTGCATTTGAGAGGGACCGTCTTTGGCTCAATGGCAAGGTGAGTTTCCTTTCGACGTTCTGTGTTTTTTCTAGAGGAACAGAGATGTTGAATTGCTTGATTAGGTGGTCGTGGGGTCGAAGAACGGGATTTTTTAAGGTGGGAATTTTTTGCTGAAATGCACTTGATCGTAACGTGGGATCGTATCGAAGGAAGTGTCAGTGGAAGGGGAGAGGTACAGAAACTGTTTGAGAGAGATGCGGGCGCGAGCCACAGATGTGGTGATTGAATCTAGTGGCAAGGTCATCACCAAGGAGGTTTGGAGTACTCTCCACATTCACATTGCCTCTGAGAACAACTTCCCTACCGCAGCAGGTTTGGCCTCGTCAGCGGCCGGGTTTGCTTGCTTAGGTGAGACCTATTTATCCATTCAGAGTCGCTTCCAAGGATCTTAGTGTATCTCTACGCGAGTGGCAGCATCAACGTGAAGTACTTCTGGACATGTATGTATGTGATGATGCTATTATAAATTGCGATGGTTCTGATTTGAAAGCGTGGTTCTTCCAGTCTATTCTCTCGCCCAGTTGATGAATGTGAAGGAAAAGTACGAAGGAGAGCTCACGGCAATTGCACGGTGAGTTAGTCAGTACCTGTCGCCAGGTTCTGGGTTTAGGGTACAGGCAAAACAAAGTTGCCGGTTCGATATCATCTTCTTATGTTGGATTTTGGTTCTTCAAGGGTACTCAGTATGAGGTATGGGTGCAGACTTGGATCTGGAAGTGCTTGTCGCAGTCTTTACGGTGGATTTGTGAAATGGAACATGGGTCAGGTAGTTGACAACATCATCCGATGCATCTATTTATTTCTGCCTTTTGGTTCTCATTTGTCAACTAGTCGTTGACGGGTGACTTTCTTTTACTGCAAGGGAAGGAGGCTGATGGGAAGGACAGCATTGCTACTCAGCTTGCGGAGCAATCACATTGGGAAGACCTTGTCATAATCATTGCTGTGGTAAGTTTCTCTCAATTGTATGCTGCTTTCCCTCAATATTACATAGTTCACATGAAATCAAATGGAAATAGAGAGCTTGGTGGATGTCAGCTCGGTAGGAAATAAAAAGGTTACTCTTACTAAGTAGTATTACAATGTGGAACGTCTGTAGAGTCAGCGGGGCCTTTGGTGACATTCATAAGCTGATGATCCAGGTGAGTTCTCGTCAAAAGGAGACTAGCAGCACCTCTGGAATGCAGGAAAGTGTTAAGACCAGTCCGCTTCTCAAGTACCGAGCTGAGGTAAGAATAACGTCTTTTTGCTATGTTTATCTTTTTTCTTCAAGGTAAGTGTAATTTTTGATATGAGCAATCTTCGTGTTAGAGAGAAGCACTTATGCACTCGGATTTTGAAGAAGGGCTAGTTCTCATGGGGGTGTATTGCAGTCTCACACATACAAGTACTTGATTCAAATGTGGTTTCTGCGGCTTCTCACATTTCTTTGATGGTTGTGATGGATAGGAGATGGTGCCAAAACGCATTGGGCAGATGGAAAAAGCCATTAAATCCATGGACTTTGCAGAGTTTGCAAGGATAACTTGTGCAGACAGTAACCAGTTCCATGCAACCTGCCTGGACACCTCCCCTCCAATTTTTTATTTAAATGACTCTTCCCGCAGGTTATCTTTAGTCCTTTCTTCAAGAAACACAATCTGCAGGCTGTGAAATTGTCTGTTTTTGATATCATTTCACGAGATTTGGGAATTTCAAGTCTAGTTTGCTTATGAAACGAATTATTTGTCTTGGTGGATATACAGACTTATAGGGTTGGTAGAGCGGTGGAATCGCCATGCAGGAGAACCCCAGGTGATACATCAATTCTGGTCATGTTACCATGAGCATTTCTGTTGCGTACATTGACGGGCATGCGTAAAATAGGAGTTCGCGAACAGTTCTTGGTGTATTGAACTTCTCTTATCCATGTAATGTTTGCAGTAAATGCATCTAAAGTTTTGGTCCTTACGTTTGACGTTTTATTATTGCTTTTCCAGGTTGCCTATACATTTGATGCTGGCCCTAATGCAGTAATGTTTGCTAAGAACAAAGAAGTTGCAGTACAGCTGCTCAAGCGCCTTCTTTACCAGTTCCCTCCATCTGCCGAGGCTGATCTTTCGAGGTACGACTATTTGGGACATAGTTAGAATCCAGGATCCTCTAGAATCCCAGAAAGATTCTCTGCACCTAAGAGTTCTTACGCACCACGTTCATAGTTGTGTTGTGGATATGCAGATATGTTCTCGGCGATCAAAGTGTTCTAAAATCTGCTGGAGTTACTTCCTTAGAGGACATCGACTCTCTTTCTGCGCCAGCAGAGTTTGCTGGAGTCATCAATTTGCCTAGAATACCTGGTGAAATTGATTATCTTATATGTACTAGTGCTGGAAAGGGTGCGTCTGTTTTGGATGGACAGATTGCTAGCCTTCTAGACCCTGCCACTGGTCTTCTGGTGAAAAATGAGTAGAAATTAGTATCAAGCGCAGAGCAGTTCTAGATCTAGCCGCCATTATGTCAATTCACTGACTCCTGCCATCAAAATTAGAGTTTGCTGGAGTCATCAATTTTCGAGGTACAACATCTATTCAGATACTCAAAGTAAGAGGTATTGTTTAAATGCACTCCTCACAGCATTTGATAGTACTCCTCAGAATCTTCTTCATTATACCTACATAGAGCAAGAGCTGAGATTATTGCATCCCTCACAATCGCATCACCCGGCCTCAATCGTCTGCATGAATCTGATTTGCCTCAGCAACTGACCTCATATGCGCGCATGTCTGTGGGAGAGAACGGTTCGCTGCATTGAGCATCTGATGTTCCGGCTGGTGTAGACTACACACTTATTTTTTATCTGCACCAAAGGGTTGCTAATCAAGCATCTCTTTGACAGCGGCCAAGTCTAAGGATATGCCTCCTGCAGCACCATTGCAGGATTTGTGCTGCTATACTAAACACTCTCTAACTTTAAAAACATGAAACTGCTACCACTCTCCAGAACTTACAGCCGCTAAAAACTGTGAACGTAAGATAGAAAAATCAGATCGAAGACAACAAGATCGAAGAAACCCAATGCTTGCCATAAACCCTTCGCCAGAAATACAATCGATGTGAGTGTTTTGAAGCTGCCTTGGTTGATATCAAACGCATGATCCAAGAAAGCCACCTATGTCCAAAAAGCACAATAGACCGCAGGTCAAATACATCATATGATTTCTGCAACATTACGACGTTGTCGCAATCCTTTCTCTAATTGCAGAATGGTGGGAATACACACCACTCGTAGACTTCACAGAACCTCCGGAGACTAGCTCGCTCACCCACTCTCCCAGCAACCAATTTTAAAATGGTCTTAAACGTAACTTAGTGTCCACGCTTCCACGCACAGCATGCACAGCATCTACTTCACATGCCTCCGGCAAAATTCCGCTTCGCAGAAACTTGGGCGTCAAGGGCGTCAACTTGCCGAAGCCACAGTTTTGGACTGGACACGGAATTGCCCTCCTCAAACAGCACACCTACTTTCCCCCAAAAAGAAAGGGCCCACCGGAAGCCTACAACTTTCCAGGTCCTAATACAAAAGGATGAGCATTAATAATCACCTCAGGATATGGGATTTATCAGAAAACAGATCTTGGGCCAGTATTGGATGGAGTGATCTGGCAGGGACATGGAAATTGGAAGCAACCTTGGACTCGAGCATATTCTGGGGGATTTCGTGGGTTGAAACGGACAGGCGTGGACTTGGTGGTCGCGAAAACAGGACAGTCCCCGCGTGCTCCTTGCCTGATTTTTGTCAGGAGCAACTTGTCCGGTGGACCTGATGAGAAGTATGCCAGTTTGCCTGCATTGGGGAATTGATTTTGTTAAGCAGGGTAGCAATACTTTGTCAATGTACGAGACATGTGAGGGTCCTTTCGCTGGATAAGGATTGGAAAGATCACCTCTATGAATTGTCCTTGGATTACGTTCTTGGGTTCTCTCGACCTTGTGGATGTTGATTCACTTGGCACATTAATGTTGGGGTGTGTTGTGGATGATGTGCTTTTAGGTAGCAAGAAATTGGTTGTTTGTATCTTAGATTGGCGACTGTAGGTGGGCGGGTTCACACATTGGCAGAGAGATTTGGGGTTCGGAATTAGGCGTGTATTGGGCTTCTTGTTGGGAAATTGAGGGGATGGCGGAAACAGGGAGTAGAGGGTTGAAATTTTGTATTTTAGGGTACAGCTAAGTTTGCGGTGAATTTCGAGGTTGGGTGGTGATTCCAGACAAGGGGGACTCGATGTTGCATAGTTGAGCTATAGTGAAGAGGTTGGAAGGCAATATGCTGGTAGTGTACATTTGTCGGGAAGGGAAGTTCAAGTGATCGAAACGAAGGAAGTGGAGCACAATGAAGAGACTTGTACACATAAACGATCGGGGTGGCCATAGGGATAGCCAAAACCACTGCAGCAATAAGATTTCAAACACGAAATATAACATTTTCAATTTCATTCCCAAGAATTTGTGGGAGCAATTCAGGTACGTTTTCAATCCGCTCATCAACTTGTTTGATTTTCTGAACTAATCGACTTGATGTGTGTTCAGTCATTGAAATGTTGGTGGAGGATCGCAGCTGTAATTGCTTAGCATGATTCATTTGTTCCGAGCATTGCCATGTCGTGACGGAAAATAAAACGGAGATACTTCCAAGTTACCTGGAGTTGCCTTATTAACCAGCCAGTCTGGGAGCCTTGTCGTTTAGATCAAAAATAAGTTTATTAGTATGCCTAATTGGCTCTTTTGTGGTGAAATGATTTACTACAGCCGGTTTATGAACAAGTACTTCTTGCTGATCGCAACCCTGCAATTGTGGCCACTTATTACCCCTGTAAGCCCTGTAAGCACATGGGGTCCTCTGCTTGCAATTTTCGCGGTATCTGCAACCAAGGAAGCCTGGGACGACTATGGTCGATACTGCTCAGACAAGGAGTTCAATGAGAAATTGGTTTGGGTTGTGAAGAACGGTGTCAAGACTCGTGTATGTCATCGCCTCCCTTTCTGACGAAGCTCGTCCAATTTTTAAAGATTTGCCAACTAATATCGTGTGAAGCTGATTCGAATGGGATCCTCGTCAAAGAGTCTTTGTTGCTAAGCCTCTCGTGTATGGCCTCCTCAATGTTGTTCTTTGGAAGTCAAGTTTGAAGCAACACATTGCTGAAGTTTGGGGATAGGGTTTTAAAAGGATAAGCCGTTATTTTTAGATTTCTGACTAGCAGCACATGTGATAATGTTTCGTGTTATCAACATGGATGTTGGATAAGAAAAATGAATGTTTATTTGCAGATTCAAGCTCAGGAAATCGAGGTTGGAGATTTAGTTTGGTTACTTGAAAACGACGAGATTCCATGCGATATGGTACTATTGGGCACGGCGGAGCCTTTGGGGCTATGCTACATTGAAGTAAGCTCTAGTTTACGACAAGTGTTGTGTGTGCCATTCAATCCTCCAAATGTGACGCAATTCGGGAAGTAATACTGTGCAGTCAGTAACTATACATTGAGAACACAGTCCATTAATTTGGTCGAGTTTGTGTAACATTGAGTATTTATAATCGCATACTTGCGTCGTAAAGTGTACTTTCTGCTTGAATGTCCACCGATCATCTCAACCTTCTGTAATGAAACACTGTCTTCTGTCTCAAAATCTAGCTATTGACATTAGTAGATTTTAATTTCACTTAAGTTTCATGCATATGGCTAACAATGATATAGAGGGCTGATTCACTGTTGATGGCTCCTTTTTTCACCATTCAGACAGCCGCTATGGATGGGGAGACAGATTTAAAGACAAGAGTAATACCTGGACCTTGCCATGGATTGACAAGTGCGCAACTACTCAACATTAAGGTGTGTAACTTCACCCTGCTGCACACCCATAGCCCATATGATTTCAAGTTAATCTTTGCTTTATTTGAAAAGAAATTTGTGAAATGCTCATTAATGTTTGCTCCGGTTGCAGGGGATGATAGAATGTCCAGAGCCGGATAAAGACATTCTCAGGTTTGATGCAAGAGTGAGGCTTTTTCCACCATTCCCCGGCGATGAGCTCTCTCCCTTGGGTGTCAAGAACACTCTGTTACAATGTTGTTATCTTCGGAATACAGAATGGGCTTGTGGAGTAGCTGTTTACACTGGTAAGTGTTTTCTGGGTGTAAGACAGCTAAGCAGCGAGTAAACGAGGTGTCTATGATTACGACCTAGTAGTTTTTCTCCATATTTTCTTGTATTTCGGGGCTTAGTGTTCTCTTCTGCTTGAGGACCTCGCTGTATTTCAAATCTGTATTTTGTGGGCGTATGTGATGAATCTGCTGGACATATTTTGTCGTAAATTTTCAGGCAACGAAACAAAAATCGGCATGAGCAAGGGTATTGCTGAACCCAAATTGACGGCTGCAGATGCCATGTTAGACAAGCTTACAACTGCCCTCTTTATTTGTCAAATAGTGGTGGTCATGATCTTGGGTTTGGCCGGCAATGTTTGGAACAATTATGAGAAGGACAAGGTGTGTACATAATAATGTTCTGATATCTTACAAGCCTATCCGTGGTTGTATGTAACTAAGGTTTTCGGTTCACCGTTAGTTATAATATGTCATTGACCTAGGGATTCCTCTGATAGTCTCGCACAAATATTGAATTCAGTGCATGTCCTTTCCATGCATGAGTTACTTATGCCAGAAGCGTGGATTTGGTATGGTGACTGACCGCCTGGTTCTTAATTATTTGCTTGTTCACGCTGCAGACATGGTATTTGCGATTCCCTAAAAAATCAGAATGGTATGACTTCATCGTCATCCCGTTGCGCTTTGAGCTTCTGTGCTCTATCATGATCCCTATCTCAGTCAAGGTATAACAAAGGCATCTCTTTCAAATTGATTTTATATTGACCTTCTTTTCTCAGGTCTATGTAAGCTTGTTATCGATTAAATTTCTTAGTGTGGATTATTTTCTGGGAGGAAGTTGATAGATGTTCTCATGATCTTTTTAATGGAGCAGGTTTCTTTGGATCTGGCAAAAAGCGTCTACTCGAAGTATATAGATTGGGATATTCAGATGTATGATGCAGTGACAGACACTCCAGCAAAGGCAGCTAAGTAAGTAGTTGTTTCCACTATTCTGAATGCTGTTTGTCAGTGTTGGTCATGATTGTAATAGCCACTCTATTTAGGCACATGCTTTGTTGAATGTAGTAATAACATCAGCGGCGGTGAGTAGAGTGCAAAAGCGTGATTACCATTCTCTTCTGAGATACTAGTATTCATAAAAACTAGAGGATCTTGGTTGGATTTGTAACACTTCTGTCTAAGAAGATCTATTTTCTATTTGGAGTCTTTTATTAAATGGTTTCTGGAAGAAATCGTTATGCGGGGATTTCAGAAGTTTTAAAGTATTAGTCTACAGTGGCATGTCAATTCTTATGGTAGTCAGTATCCTCAACATGTACTGGAAAGTAATTCTGACATTCTATTCTGCTTCTGATTTAAAGGAAAGACTTGTGATATCGTTATCTGCTGACTGCAGTACAGCTATTAGTGAAGATTTGGGACAGATAGAGTACATCCTTACGGACAAAACTGGAACCCTCACTGAAAATATGATGATTTTCAAGCGCTGCTGTATAAATGGTGTATATTATGGAAATTTCAATGGTGATGCTCTTACAGGTCTGTCGACTTTACCTCCGGTTTTTCTTATTCTCTTTCTGAGGTGCTTATCACTATCTAAGGATTTAGTAAGGTTAGTCTCACATTCATTTGTGTTGGGTTTTCTTAAACTTATGCAGCCTTGAGAGTTGATTAATTAGTAGATGTTCAACTTATGGTGAGCTGATCTTCACTGATCAGCTGAAGTATTCATCAACTTGCTCCTGTCTGGTTGTGTAGACCAACATTTAATGCATTCTGTGACGGAGAAGGTTTCTGCAGTCGTTAAATTTGTGATGGTAATGACTATCAACAACACCGTTGTGCCTAACATGTCTAGGTATGGACTGCAGATGCCCTTGCTGATTTTTCACGTGTGATTTCCAGTTATTTCAAATCATACTTCCACGCACCAAAAAGTGTAGTTGTCGATTCCGCATCACATCAACAATGTGATACGATGTTGAAATCAAGTATTTAACAAACATTTTTCGGGCAGGGAAAATGGGCGCCTTACGTACAAGGCACAATCACAAGATGAAGAGGCTCTTGTTCAAGCAGCTGCTCAGTTGGGGATGGTACTTTTTTCCAAGAAGGGATCAGTAGTTGGTAAGCGCTGACATTTTATGTACGCATTTAGATGTTTCATGGTTTGCTACCTCTATTATCTGCCAATCATACTCGTTTCTCAGTACGTGTGTGGCTCTTCGGTATTTGACTTCAGTGTAATCCTATTTATCGATCGTGTGTTGTAGCTTTTGGCTCTCTATTTATGTTAGTAATTGTGTAGCATACGTACATAAAGTAATTGATATTTTTATTGCAGAGTCTGTGCTTTAAATATTCATATATTTAAAGTTGTGTGGTTTGTATTATGCAGAAGTGAATTTTCTAGGGCACACTATGGAGTTTGAAATTCTCCAAGTATTGGAGTTCACCTCCGACCGCAAGCGTATGTCTGTAGTCGTTCGAGATCATTCCACGGGGGGATTGTATTTGCTCACCAAAGGCGCTGATGAAACTGTTTTCCGCAGAGTCCGAGCTGGTATGCTGAATTTGGATAACATCTTGCTTATTGTTGGAATTCTTTAGCTTCATTGGCAGTGCTCAAAGTCGAATTATGCCATGAATATCTAATTATGTATGTTTATGTGTTGAACACTCACAAGCTATTCCTTTGCAGGTGAGCCAGTGCAACAAGTCGCAGATGCCATCGACCAGTATTCTCAGCTTGGACTCAGGACACTCTGTTTTGCCTGGCGGGACCTTGATGAGCAAGAGTATGTGGCATGGACCGCTAAATTCAATGAAGCAAGTGCTGCTTTAACAGATCGTGAGGTTAGACAACCTCTTTTCTACGTTCTCTTGATATGGCTTCTTATGCACACGATTTTTTTGAGTTAGGGATTCAAAAATGGCATTTTGGTGGAGTGGAAAAGTCAGTACTTGTAATCTTCAACTTGTAATCCCCTACTTGTAATCTTCAACTTTGAAACTCGTAGGAACACCTGAAAATTAACTTCAGCTTGCGTTTTTGTAGCTCAGAGTCGAACACAATTGTTGTCCTGAAAAATATATGATGTACGCGTAAGAATTCTTACTCTTCGTGTGAGCACAGTTGAAGATTGCAGAAGTCTCTGAACTTCTGGAGAAGGACTTGGAATTACTGGGTGCATCTGCCATCGAAGACAAGCTGCAGGTTGGGATGAGTATCCTATTTTTATCTCTAGGAATCGTGAATGTGATAGAGGTTAATAACTTCGTAAGATGATTGGTTCTTCAGCATCTCAAGGTTTTCTTCATGGTCAGCCTGGAAGCATCCGTTATCGTCTGAGAACCATGTTTTGCCCTAGGCACAAACTTCACCTCATCAGGTGTATCACTTGATTGTGTGGGTTTTCCATCTTACCATCAGGACGTGGGAAATTTTGCTGACAGGATGGAGTGCCTGAAACTATTGCTTCTCTGAGAAAAGCGGGAATTAATTTCTGGCTGCTTACAGGCGACAAGCAAACTACTGCCATACAAGTTGCGCGTGCTTGCAACTTTATTATGGCAGGTATATTTCTCTGGATTTTGGCAAACGCATATGGAATCTAGAGTTTTTGTACACTATAATAAGTTCTGCTTTCAAAGAATCACCACTCAAATCCTACATGATATTCACTTGATTGCAGAGCCAGAAGGTCAGTTATTGAAAATTGAAGGTTCCACTCCCAGTGATGTGGCTGATAGTATAGAGGGGGTGCTGCAAACGTTTTGCATAAACAACTCAGAAAACAAGGTAAAGCGACTAACGTGAAAATTGTTATTAAATTGGCAGTCAGTGTATTTTTATTTTTGTCATATTTTTTACTTTCTTGCTTTCTTGTCTATTACTGACATCAATCAGGAACGTTATGTTACACGATCTAAAGATATTAATGGTCTATTGTTCAGAATATCGCATTTGTGATTGATGGATTATCATTGGAGATTGCATTGAAGTATCACAAGGAGGCATTTGCAAAACTGGCGCTGTTGATCAGAACGGCACTGTGTTGTCGTGTTACTCCATCACAGAAAGCTGAAGTGGGTTCTTCTCTACTCTTTTTTCTACCCATGTGAACCTTTATTTGATTTGATGTTTCTTTGTAAATTCTGTGTTGAAGACGTCAGGCTCGTCTGTTCAATGTGTCGGTAGTAGACTTCGCACATACAGTCGCTTGTTTTTAATGGGCTGGAAGTTATTGAAGGAACAGGTTGCACCCTTCTATGTGCCTAAGCATGATTTTGTCTTACTTACGCTTAATCAAAGGATTTGTGGCTCATACGAGTAGATCTTGTATTGCAGCTGGTTGGGCTGGTCAAAAGTTGCGATTACAGGACATTAGCAATCGGAGATGGAGGCAATGATGTAAAGATGATTCAGGAGGCACATGTTGGTGTAGGTATCAGTGGACGGGAAGGTCTACAGGCATCCCGAGCTGCAGATTACAGTTTTGGAAGTGAGTTTCTTCACCTTCAGCTCCACAATGTTATACGTTAGGTAACACTGATGTCGATCTTGCTTGCACGCTGTTTTAACCATCACCTGATTGAATAAGGTTGTCAACAGCGTCAGGTAATTACGTTGTTTATTTTACCAAGAGCTTTCGTGGATGAACTTGGAGTTTTGTTACTTAAATAACACGATGTTTTGAAGGATATATTCCAAACAACTGCTCTGACATATGCCTGAGTTATGTCTCATGATTTTCTGAGAACAAGGTCCATAAGGCGAGCCAACAGTTTCTCAAAGGTTGCGAAATTGGTGGAATAAATGAATTAGTTCAATTGAGATTGTGGTATCTATTGCAGAATTCAAGTTCTTAAAACGGCTGATATTGGTGCATGGAAGATATTCGTATAATCGAAGTGCTTTTCTAGCACAGTATTCAATCTACAAATCACTTGTCATTTGTTTTGTTCAAATATTGTAAGAGCCTCTCCTGCTTCTATTTCTAAATTTTTTAGTCCTTTGGTTTTCAAATACTATACTTCCATTGAGACCTGAAACCCACGAGTGAAATTATGGAGTTAGTGCCTACATTGTACAGTACTTGGTGGATGACTTGAAACTGGGACTACATGATTGTGGTGAGATTGTTCATGTATCAGATAATAATATTAAGAAGCCTCAGTGGTTTCTGGGGCTTGCTCGAATGCAAGCTGACATTTCCGATTGGTTCTTTCAGATTCTCATTCATATCTGGTGTCTCTGGGACTAGTCTCTTCAATTCATTTAGTCTGATGGCGTACAATGTAGCATACACCAGTATTCCAGTCATGGTGACGTCGCTTCTCGACAAAGATCTCTCTGAAAGGACAGTTATGCAACATCCAGAGATTCTCTATTTCGCACAGGCTGGGAGGTACTCTTTCGATGATTCATGATAATTCTATCAAGGTCTTAGATATACAATGCAGCGGTGGATTCTTGTGGGACTCGTTGCTAGATTCATGGATGTAGCATGTGCACAATAAGGATATAATTTTCTTGAATTGGATTTATTTCCCTTGACAAGTTTAGAGGATATTTTGTCTGAATGAAAGGGCTTTTTGAAAGGACTGTTTGAAATTGTGGTTTGTGAAACTACGTTTGTTACCACAGGTTGATCAACCCGAGTACATTTGCTGGCTGGTTTTTACGCTCAATTTTTCATGTAAGCTTCTCAGAAAGCTTCGGAAACTGCTAATTCCTTTCCAATTTTTTCCGTGCGATCTCTTCGATTCTAACCTCAATTAACATCCTTGCTGGTCAAGTTTCAGTCTGAAAGTTCAATCGACGTTTCCTGTCTTCTACCTCTGTGATAGTCGTGTGTTTTTCTACCTTCCCTAACCATAGTATTTATTTTTGTTACCGTTGGAGGTTAGAAATTTTACAGACCAGTATTTATCGCTTGTTGTCTGAGATTTCGTGTAGAATTTCAACAATGCAACCTGGCATAGAGCATGGGAATTGAAGCATGTTTTTTGCAATAACTGCATCTTTTGTACACTGCAATCAATTCAGTCAAACCGATGCAGGTTAACTTAAATTAATGAGTTTTCTGCCTTCAGGCTATAGTCATCTTTGTGGTGACCATTCGCGTTTATGCCCACGAGAAATGCGAGTTGGTGGAGATGTCTATGGTGGCCTTGTCTGGGTGCATCTGGATTCAGGCCTTCCTAGTGTTGATTGAAACTAAGTATGATTCCTTAGGTCTTGGCTTTTGGTTTGTATGTACTCCCGTTTCAGTCATAGCCATTGTTAGTAAATAGTTTACCTCGTTGAACATAATAGAGGATTTCCTTGCAGCAATATGAGACTTAGGTGCAAGTTGCGTCAATTGATGAACTCTGTTTCTAGGCGTTGTTCAGATTAATAGAATCCGTTTATATCTCCATTTTTGTTTTGCAGCTCTTTTACGGTGTACCAGCATTTGGCGGTGTCAGGCAACGTCGTTATCTTCTACATACTGAATCTAATCCTGAGCTTTGGGAAGCACAGTGGCATGTATAGGATTATGTTTCGGGTCTGCGCTGATCCATGCTACTGGTTCTCCCTCCTGGTATGCGCGTCACTAATCAGCAACGATTTCTTTCATATCATTTAGCCAATGTTTTCTTCGATAGTTTTGTTGGGCTCAATTTCTAGTTTATCCACTTCAAGGTAGTTTCTTCTTGAGGTCATCGCTCCAGCCATGCTTTTCTTTGACGATCTAAATGTTCTCTGACTGTAGCTCATGGTTGTTGCGGGAGTGGGTCCTTTGTCGGCAATCAAATTCTATCGAGCAACGTACAGACCAAATGCTATTAACACGTTACAGCTAATGGAGCGTCAGCATCCAATGCCTGTTTCTGTTGAAGCAATTGGAAGCAGCTCAAGCTCTTTCAAATCAGCCAGCAGATCAAGTTCGAGTCATGGATCGGTGTTCGAACCGCTTCTAGCTGAGACCTCCAACCCGAAGACACCGCCTGATAGATATATCAGCAAAGATAAAACCAGGCCTGTCACATCTGCTGTTTTGCTCTCCAGTCCGAATTCACGGACTCTTCCTTAAAACTTCTCTATGAATTTCAAGTAATTAGGTTGTGTTGGATTAAATTTAAATTAATTAGTTGTGCCAAAATCTGTGTAATTCACATGTAGTTGATCTTATGAATTTAGAAGATAGAGATGTTATGCAGATTATTTTCCTGTATTACGACCTTCTTTGATGTGAACCCTCCAAGGAGGATGAGGGCACTGCAATAATTATCAGTCTACGCTTTTACGGAGCTGCTAATGAAATCAAATGCTTAGTATCAGAATTTGCCATCTTTCAACCATTTCTTGGTCGTGAATTCATATAGGTCCTTCTACGGCCCTTTTCAGATTATATAAAATTATGTCAGTATCTGCGTCAAAGCATTTCAGGTGAAGCTAACTCTCCAATGGAACCGTAATAACAGAATTACTTGTTGTCAAAGACCGCATGAGGCATTGTGTTGGAAATCTGTTCCTGTCACGAGTTGCTCAATGATTTAGGAATAAAATGTGATTGCCCCTTTCAGTTTCAGTTTATCAATTTCACTAACTGAAGACCGAAAGCTCGAGAATAAAGATACGAACATCATGAATGCTCAAAGCTCCAGCAAAAGAAGAAAAGCTGATTCTGTCCATGAAGTGGACCGACAACGTCGCAATTTGGGATCATTCTTTAAGACGATTTAAGCGTGTTTTAGGGACGCCGCCTGTGTCAAGACCGTCATTCTCATGGCACAGTGATGTAATTATGAAAAGAAAAAATGGCCAAGTCCTGTTGGCCAGCTGACATCACTGGCCCCAGCACCGGTGGTTTCCATTGCTTCATGATCACGTTGTGAAAAAAAGGCTCTTGATTCAACTTGATTCAACTTGATTCAACTGTACTCCCTTGACTAAAATATTATATAACCGTCCAACTACAATCATGGACACTTCACCTAAGTCCAATTTCGTATGAGATCAGAGTTAGTTCCTCACAGTGGAAAACAAAAACACGTCGGACGGTATCTACACCTCGGCAGCTCTTTCATGACGCATCTCGAAAACCCGACAAACTCAATCCCAATACCATCGCTTCAAAATAGTTCGTAACCTTTGGGACACAACATGCGGCGCTTCGAGCAGCTGGCGCTCACCGATAGCGCCATCAACAATCATGGAACACTTCCTATGGTTGTTGAATCGCTTTTAGCAACACAGTCCCGCAAAAATAAAAAAAGCAAAGGTGATGAGTTGCGATCGAAGTCCTTGCCAGGCGCGCGCGCGCGCGCTCCCCGGAAGGCAAGGCCTACAGTTATACGCCAGAATGAAAGTGAGAAGCCAACGTTGACGAAGCCAGCGGAATTTGGACTCAGAAACAGCAGTGGGCCCAAGGAACCAACTAATAGATCTGAGTCACCTGACAGCTGCTTGCCGGTCACTTCCCACATGTGACAGTTGCTGCGCAGAAATATTATCCCTCAAGTGCCAGTTTACCTCAAAGTCCAGTCCGACAAGCGAGAGTTCAAGTGTGAATGTACTCCACTTTCAGCAGTAATACTATCCGGCGAGGGGGGTGGGGTGGGGTGCTACCGAGACTGGTAGCTCTAAATTCGCCGCGTCCACGGGTGACATTAAAGTTCTGAAAATATATAAATCCAGTAGAACTGCCACATGTAGGATGGATGCACCAGTGGCGTGGATTTGTAGTCGGCCCCCCGTGAGGTTGTCGTGTCTCTGGACTCAGTTAGCCTCCAGTCAACCGAAAGAAAGTAGGGTGGATCATTTCATTGCTGCTCGCTTGTGCCGACTTTTGTAATTGTGCCTGGTTGTTGCTGCTAGGAATTTCTCGGCGCTTGGGAGATTTTCGTTGCCTTTACGATTCTCTGCGTCGCCCATATAAGTTCGTCATGGGTGTTCCAGTATGTTGGTGGTGTGTACTGTTTCAGATTAAACTAATTTTTGCTATGACCTGACACAGTGCGTTCGTTGCCTATGTCTAGAATAAATGTCCCTTCCGGGGCCCATTCGATGCGTCGATGTTTGTTTTGTAAGGTTGCTAGTATAAAAACTTTTCTTCGCTTCCACAGGTGATAGGGGAAGCGGAGACCGATCTATAGAGTCCAGAGGAAGCTCAGGATTTTATAGGATTGGTGTGCAGGAGCTCATTCGGGGTTTTTGTCGACTGCCGAGTTTTTCTGTTTTATCTTTCTTTCTGGTAAGACTTTCACCCACTCGCTGTCTTCACATCGCAGAATTCGTGAAGTCACTTTTTCCTGTCAAATTCATTGCAGTGGGCAGTTTATGATCAGAATCATAGCCGTAATAACCTTTGATATATGGTAAAGTGATTACTCTTGTCCAATTCCATTCTGGCACAGTTGAAGTCGACAGAAACACATGTATTTCCCGCACGTATTGATTGCTGGTTCGAATTCGAGAGAATGGATTCTCACCATAGGAACATTGACACAGGAATGGAACAATCCTTTCACCCCACAATGGCTGCGAAGCACAGAGTCATGCTGCTCGCGAGCGCCATGATTCTTCTGGCGGCGTTGTTTTCCCCCGTCGAAGCCTCCCACAAGGATTGGCACCAGCTCGGCGTCGAGAGCATCAAGAGCTCCTCTTCTGCGACCCACGTCTATCAGCCTTACCGCACGGCGTACCACTTCCAGCCGCGCAAGAATTGGATGAACGACCCCAACGGGCCGCTCTACTACAAGGGATGGTATCACTTCTTCTACCAGTACAACCGCGACGCAGCCGTGTGGGGAAACATCACATGGGGGCACGCCGTGTCGAGGGACATGGTGCACTGGCGGACACTTCACACCGCGCTCAAGGGCGACAAGTGGTATGACATGAAGGGTGTGTGGTCCGGATCCGCCACTTTCCTGGACAATGGAGTCCCCGTGCTGCTCTACACGGGCTGGGCGATCAATGGCACAGACCAGTCGTCCATTCGTGGTCAGACGCAAGCAATGGCGGTGCCGGAAGATCCGTCGGATCCCCTGCTGCGTGAGTGGGACAAGTCGCCACACAACCCGATTGCCTTGGCACCACCCGGATTCAACGACAGCATGTTCCGTGACCCGACCGAGGCGTGGAAGGGATACGATGGGGTGTGGCGTATGTTGGTGGGGGCAGTCAAAGGGACCGATCAGTCAATCGGAACTGCGCTTCTGTACAAGAGTACGGATTTCAACAAGTGGAATTTCACTGGGGAGATCCAGTCGGTGGCCGGCACGGGAATGTGGGAGTGTCCCGACATTTACCCTGTCCATGTTAAGGAGAAGACGGGGTTGAGGCTGTCCGCGAGGGGGCCACATGTGAAGCATGTCCTTAAGGTGAGCTTGGATAGGAACAAGCACGATTATTACTCCGTGGGTACTTACGACGAGAAGACGGACTTATACACCCCGGATGATACCAAGTTGGACACGGGATTGGGACTACGGTACGACTACGGGAAGTTTTACGCGTCGAAGACTTTCTTCGATCAGAATAAGAACCGGCGGGTATTGTGGGGTTGGGCAAATGAGTCTAGCAGTGTGCAGGATGATATAGAGAAGGGGTGGTCTTCGGTGCAGTGCTTGCCGAGGCATATCTGGTTGGATGAAGAATCGAGTGCGAATTTGGTGCAGTGGCCGATTGAGGAAGTCGATAAGCTTCGGCGGAATGAAATGACGGAGAAGAATGTGGAGGTTGGGGTGGGTAAGGTTGTGCCCGTCAAGGCGGCGAAGGGCGCGCAGCTTGACATTGTGGTAGATTTCGCCCTGCCTGAGAAGAGCGAGGGATTGGAACAAAACCCAAACCTGCTGGCGGAGATGGGACATTTGACATGCAGCGATTTGGTAACCAAGGGGTCGAATGCAGCTGGACCACATAGCTTCGGCCCGTTTGGTGTTCACGTGCTTGCGACCGGTGATCTCCAGGAGCGGACGTCCATCTTCTTCCATTTGATACACGATGGCAAGCACCAGAACTGGAAGACGCTCTTCTGCGGCGACCAGAGCCAATCCTCCTTGCAGCAGGACGTCGACAAGACGGTGTATGGGTCCTACGTGCGCGTGGATGACAGCGACAAGGTGCTGTCCGTGCGCATTCTCGTCGACCACTCCATCGTGGAGAGCTTCGCCCAAGGCGGCCGCACGGTAATGACATCCAGAGTATACCCGGAGCTGGCGGTGAAAGACGCCGCTCACGTGTTTTTGTTCAACAACGGTACTGAGCCCGTGACAGTGAAATCGGTATCCACCTGGGAGATGAAGAGTGTCAACATCAAGTTTTACAAACCTTGATTTGCACGCTCTTTCCGCTTAACTCCGGTTGATAACTAGCCGAAATGTTGCTTTCCCAATTTAGAATTGTTTGGACATCCTCGAAGCTCAAGCTGCTGCATGCATACAGAGATATTCAAAATCATGTACACATCTCCACTTGTAATAAAACATAATAAACCACTCTGTTTTGGCACATTCCGCATCACCCTGTCGTTGAATAAAACCTCACAAACCATCCAAAAATACCCAAACCAGATAAGGCAGAACCCGCGTGCTTGGAAATCACATCGTAAGGATGAAGCATGAGTGGACAAGTGTACCCACTCGTCGTACCGACGAAAGATGCGCTTTCGTTCTCGCTGGAGAAAGATTCTTCAGCTAGCTCCCACCAGCAAGTACCATCACAGTGTACCCACACGCACAAACAGTACCATTAGATGCGGTGAGCTAAAGGGGACACCGTCACCCATTTGCTGCAGAATCGTGGGTGACTCTCGGCCATGGCGTGGCCGCGATGCTGCTCCTCCTGCCTGCTCCTGCCTGCACCGTGCGCGCAGGACGGGTTGTACGAGAGCCACCAAAGCAGTGATGGAAAAGTGGGGAGAGATTGCGTGAGAGAAAGCAGTAAGTAAGTAAGTAAGTAAGGGAGTAGGGGAGAGGAAGGCATGTTGTCAGGGACATGGCAACAGGCAGCAGCCGTGTGATGAGTGAGTGATCGTCAACTCATTCCTCACACTCTAAACTCTGCATCCTGGTCTGCGGGTGTGGGGACTTCCTGCTGCTGCTGCTGTTGCAGCTGCGCCGCGGGCTCTGTCACGACTAGCTGCAGCCGTCGCGTGTCCCGCGGTGAAAGAGAGACACTGGAATGGGGTATATCCGTGAGTGAGTGAGTGAGTGAGAGTGAGTGAGAGAGAAAAGAGAGCAAGTTGAGGGACCCCCACATGGAAACACTGGCCCTGTTTCTCCGCACCCACGCAATCAGGGTCCTACCTAACACTACTACTACTACCCCCCCCCTTTTCCCCTTTTTTCTTTCCTCTTTTTTACTTTTGTTGTTGGTTGTTGTTGTTGGTTGTTGTTGTTGCTGCTGTCGCAGTAGTAGTTCTACTTCTTCATCTTGCTGCTGTTGTTGCTGTTGCTGTTGTTGCTTCCCACTGAGTGCCCGTGCCCACTTCATCAAAGGGAGGGAGGGGGTTGGTTGTTTGTTTGTTTGTTTGTTGTGTTGTGGTCCTGTCTTTTGTGCATCACTCGCAGGTGTGTCAGAAGAGGCGGAGGAGAATGCATTGGGGAAAAAAAAGTTTTTTCCAGAGTTTTTCTATTGAGGGAGAGTTTTCCACGTGACACGTTTTTGGGAGAGAAACTGTATTATTTTTTATGTCAGTAACGAGGACATTCATGTTTTAATGGATTCCATTGAGTTTTTTTTCTTGCCTCTGATCTTTCGTTACTTTCTGAGGTGAGTAATGTTACATCTTTGCCATTTTCATCCACAGTTGAATGACCTACACAGCTGGGTATATTAGAATGCATGTATTTCGTGGAAAATTTTCCCCCAATCTATTTTTATCTATTCTAGGGGCTCACAAATCAATGTCTTCAATCCACGCGTGAGCTTTTGAAGTACACGACATGGAATGTGCTGCATCATGCGAGGAGGGCCCATAAAGCCCCTCCTCGCATGATGCAGCACATTCCATGCTTGTAAAGGCAAATCCTAACAGAAAACTCAAATTAATTAATTGAAAAAAGAACAAAAAGAAGAAGATGAAGAAGAATTCTTTCTTCTTCTCGAGCACCTGACGTCAATTGTTACACATTCTGAAAGTCAAATTATTCTGTTTTCTTTTTCTTTTTGCAACGTTTTTCCGGATATTAGATGAATATTTATAATTATTATCACTCCAGAAGTAACTTGTTTCAATGTTTTAATATCCTGTGTTGTATTTTTGAAATAGTAGCAAAACAAACTGTCCAATATTTGTTGGCACTGTTCAATCAAAGACTGTTTCAACTGAGAGATGGTCTATTTGTTGGAATAGTCCATGTTTCTTTTGAACTTTATGCAAAGAGGAATGAGTTTTCATTTGAAAGTGAATTTGAAATAACCTTCTAAAGATGAAATATCTCGAATCAGATGACTCTATAAAATTATAGAATAAAATTAATAGAAAAAGAGTAGGTCAATGAACTTGGTTGTAAAAACTCAATCATTGAATTAAAAAAAATTGAGTATGTGTAGGTGCAATTTATTAAATACTCCCCTAATTTGCACATAAAACAAATACTCTATTATGTTACAAAATGCTACATCAAATGGGAATGGTTATGAAAACGATAATATCAATAATCATGTTGATAGAAATGGACATGGTTATTTAATGAAAAATAAGAAAAGAAATACATTAAACGAATCAGGCACAAAATAAAATGAATTCATCTTACGATACTTATATCTTTCAAATATACACTTGGTTGAGACAATTGTTGCATTCGACTATCCCATGGAATTTAAAGGTCAAATTCTAAGCAATGGATAAATACACTGTTCAGTTACTGATTAAATCATTTTTGTAAGAGAAAGGAAGTCAATCACATGTTTGTTTCAATATTCACGTCTTAAAATTCGATTCCAATTATGATGCACCTAAAACATATTTGTTTTGAACTTAAATTTTACATGAATTTTGTTTTCACAAGAATATAAATTGCTAAGTTATATGTATGTTTTTCCTGTGGAACTTTAGATACTTCCATCAATACATATATATATATATATATATATATATGTGTGTGTGTGTGTGTGTGTGTGTGTTTCCAAAACATATTTTCATGGAGCAGAAGTTATGGATAATATATTAATGCTTTTTAAAATGTTATGATCAAACCAACTGCATTCTAGTTAAGTTTTATTTTCTTCATATAAACATATTGTGTTTCTATCAATACTTTTGTATACTACATAATGTACTTAAGGGAATTCAAAGGCTAGTGCAGCAGCAGCAGCTGTGGTGCCGATGCAAATTAAGATTTGCTCCGACGCCGTCGCAATGTTGCTACAGTGCCCAGGTCGAAGCTTTTGTTAATCTAATCTCACACTGTTGAATTGTAAGATTATATTAACAAAAGCTTCGACCTGGGCACTGCGAGCACTAGCTCACGATCGGAGTCATTCGCAGCAACTCCGTCGTCAACTTTGTGGAGACACGAACAGATTTCCGTTCATCATCGAGGAAGTTCCACAGCACGCAGCTTCAAAGCATGAAAACACACTTGGGAATTGCAGGTATATCTGGCCCTATGGAGAGGTGGGGTGGGGGGGATTGTACGAGAGGGAATTACTGTGATCAGGACGAAGGGATAGAGGCACAAGACGTGGTGGAAAACCAGCGGAGAGAAATTAGTTGCACAAGCTACACCCCAAACGGCCTTTGCACTAAGGGCGAATGCCTGACTTCGGAAGCCGGTACTGCACGTTTCACGACGCGTACCACGTCCACCATTTTTCTCGGCTGCCAATAACTACACCGTTGGAGATTCGAACCAGTTTCCCACTCGACACTGCAGACTCAGCTTCAGCTTCACGAAGTCACCGAAGTGGGTAGAACCCTCAAGTTGGGCTTCATGCACAAAAAATCTGAATCAAACACGTCGATGGGTCAAGTAGTCATGCTGAGAATGATCGAGCACGAATACCTGCCCGGGCTATGCTATACTATGCTACTGTGACACAGTAGGAGGGGAGTAGTACCTGACAAGAACGGTGCAGGGTCACAGAATAGTACAATTTTGGGTGGTGTCCGGATCGAAGCCATCGACAGTGAAACCAGGATCCTGGTGGGCAGCTGCAGGCGAACTGATCAGAAAGTCTCGTCGATGTTCACAGTCCAGTCCTCGCAACCATTGCGAGCGGAAAGAGAAAAAGTGAGTCCTGCATATACTATTACAGCAACAACAACAACAACAACAACAACAGGTCTAACAGAAGCGTCATGGAAATGGGACATCGCATGTGTTAGAAGCAACTCAGATCCATCGCTAATCCTGAAATGCAGGCGAATCTAGTGCTGCTGTTTTCGAGCTTCTGTCCACTGCGAAGAAGCAGTTGTTGTTGTTAAGCTCGGGACTTCTTCCGCAACTGGGCTGCACTTGGCGATCACTTTTGTGTTGCAAAACCACAATAGGGGCCTCATGTTGCGAGAGACCGTAGCGTCCATTTCGAAGTGGGTTTTCACAAGTTCAGTGATGTTTTTCTCAGTTCAGATCAACGATGTCAGATTTGCACAGTTTCGACAAGTTTTGGATGTGTGTTGAAAACAACATCAGATTGGAAATGAATTCGAGCACATCAGGATTTATTCGGAATAATCAGAGTTGTTCAACTATACATGCATTAAGTTTGTTACATGCACATTTCGTTTCCAATTTTTTTGAAGCATCATGGGGTAGACTTATTTATTGTTACTTTTGTGTAAGAATGCCTTTTTACTAGGTGGTTGGAGGTTTTGGTTCAACTCCATATTATTGTAACAAATGTAAAATATATAATTTTGTTTAAAATTTCAAAGGAGGAATATAAGTTTTAATCTATGATTGTGCTTTATTTATTGTATCTTAGTTCTTTTCTTCTTCTTTTTTTTTTCTTTTCTATTTATCAGTTCTATAGTTTGAGTTTAATATACTTCTTTATGTTCTTTAAGTCATATGCATATAGTTTTCTTGGTTTTGTTTTTTTTTTTTTTTTTTTTTTTTATTTTACATTTGGTCCATTTCTTATGTAAAAACCATACCAATGTGTTGTATTTAGAATAGAATCCTTCATATATTGGCATTGTTACATATTAAATCAAAAGTTTTATCCAAAAGTAGTTAATGGACCAAATATTAAGTACTTGGATTGGAGCTAATAATTAAATAGAAAAATGTGGTTATTCATAAATCTTACCACTTGATTATTTCACAATCAAAGATACAATTGTCGATATTAAAACTCCTTGTTAATATGCATTATAGGAAATTAATAAATTTTTAGTCAGATATTTTTTTTCTAATATGCATGTTTTTTTTTTTTTTTTTTTTTTTTTTTGTTAATGCTTTATTTTTACTAGAATAAAAATATCTTTGTTTTGTCTTTTTGAATTTGATACTATTATGTGAAATAGAAAATATTTTGGTTTTAATTTTTTTCATATAATT